TGGCTGAGTGGGGTGCTACTTATAATAAGTGACTGGCAAAGACCTCTGGGAAGAATAACATTTGAGTTGCCACCTAAAAGAGGGAAAGGAGCTGGATACTGGAAGTACCAACAGAGAAACAGGGTAAAGTGCTTCAGGAAAAAGGAACAGCTAGCAGGGACACCTTGAGGACAAAGAGAGCTTGGACTATAAGAGGAACCGTAAAGCAACAAGTATGGCTGCAGTGTGGGTGCCAGGGAGAGCATAGCAGGTGAGATGGGAGAAGCCAGTAGGCACCCAGGAAGAAGGAATCAGGAGTCTGGTCCAAAAGGTTCTAAGCAGGTGAGTCACATGACATGACTCATGTTGTCTCACGTTTGTTACCTCTCGGTAGTAAATCACTACCCTATTAAAGTTGCTTCAGTAGTAAAATAAGAATCCCCTCCTCGAGGAGCAGGGCATTTTACAAATAAGTGATGCATGTAACATGCATATAACCCTGAAGCACTCAATACGCATTAGCTGTTGTCATCACAGAAGTCCAAATGAGGGATAGTGTCAAAATCGGAAAGTTTGAAAAACATCTCCACCACCCACTGTGAAAAGGGACATTTCTCATTAAATGAGTGTAGGTGAGTTTCACTCTCCACCCACTTATACACACCCTAAACTTAGTACTTGGTTATTAATAATAATACCTAATGGCTGGGCCTGGTGGCAAGTGCCTATAGTCCCAGCTACTTGGGAGGCTAAGGCAGGAGGATTGCTTGAACCCAGAAGTTTCAGGCCAGCCTGGCCAATGTAATAAGACCTAGTCTCAGAATATAACAATAACTAATATCTGTAGAATACTTAACAGTTTACAAAGCACTTTCATATCCGTTACAAGAACTTGTTAATTAATAACCACTGCTCTTAAGCACTGTCAATTTAGTGACAGTGTTGCAAATTGGCTAGTTCTTGCAAGACTTAACAAGAAGCCATATCTCTCTCGGATCAGGTGACAAGGCATGTCAATCTCAGTGGGTCTGGCATACCTGCTGTGTTCTCTATTCCCAAATGTCCAAATCTGAATGAGATTAAATAATTGTAGTACCACTGAGCGCTATGGGTGTGCTAGGCACTAAGTGCTTGATATGTTTAAGCTTCACATTATCCCAATACATTTTATATCCCCATTTTCCAAACAAAGCAATTAATGTGTTGAAAGGCTAAAAGTTTCATTCAAGGGCACTCAGAAGGAATAAGAGCTGGAACCAAGACTTATACATAAGATGATCTCTCCCACATCCTCACTCTTAATCATGACACTATATTAGGTCGTTCTAGTAAAGTGCTTATAATATGGTGTTTGGTACAAAACAGGTACTTAGTAAATAAAGGTGATTAGCAAGACACGTAGTTTCCAGTGTCCATCAGTGTCACCTCCAGGAGAGCAGCAACCTTGTCTGGTTAACTGCTGTGCGCCCAGAACCTGACCCAACTGCACAGTTTTAGAATGAATAAGATAAATGAATTAATGTCCTTCCCAAAAGCAAAACTGCCTGCACATGGCTTTTTGCACGTCTCTGTCACGCCACTGAGGCTGCCCCTAAGAGCATCGGGCGAATTCGAGAACACAGAGGGGTCGGGAGACGTGAGTCCCTCCTTCTTTTCACAGTGCAGGAGTGGCGGAACCACCTGCCAAGTGAAGGAGACAGGTCTAGATCGACATGCAGGCGGTTCCCCGCTCTTGCGGGGCTCTGTCCTCCACCCCGCCAGCTCCCCGCAGAGACAGTGTCCGCTCCGGTGCTGGTACCGGCAGGAGACAAAGGCCCACGGGGCTGCCGCGCCGGCAGAAATGCTCACTCCCCTCGCCCACCTCTCCAAGAGGGAGCCCAGCGCACCACGTACCGCCCAGCCTGGGCGCTGCGGCGGGTAGGCCGGGACCCCGGGAGAAGTAGACATGCGCCGCGGGCCCGCCTTGTCGCCGCCCGTGAGGGTCGCTCGGGCGGGTTCGGCTGGCCTGTCACCTTCAGGCCGCCCGCCCCTCAGCCCGCCGCGGACCCCTCAGCGCCAGCCGCTGACGCCATTGGCTCCGCCACCACCGCCCAGCTGGGCCTCCCCGCGCCTCGGCCCTCCCGTGGCGCCAGCCGTCTGCACCTCTCCTCGGCGCCGCCCCCCAGCCCGCCCGGCCCATACCTGCTGGGAGAGGGGGATGAGCGGCGCCGCCATCTTCCCGCGGACTCGGGCTCCGAGCGCCGGCGGAACGGAGGCGGGGCCGCGCCCGCGCGTGCGCACCGGTGCCAGGGGCGGTGCGCGCGCAGCTAAACCAGGGCAAGGGCCGTGCCGAAGGCAAGAACGCGCATGAGCAGCAGGGCCTTGAAGGCGGGACAGAGGGCGGGGCCGCGCGCTCTTCGCAGGCCTGGAGGGGGCGGGGTGGCGCTGACCTGGGGCGGGGCTTATGAAGGGCGCTTGCCCCTGGAACCCTAGCTGGGTGTCTGTGGCGCTTCCCTGTCACCCGCCCCTGAGTCCTGCATTGGCCAGACCCCAAGACTGCAGGAGTCCTTGCCCCCATGTACCATGTTCTGTGATGCTTCTAGCTCCTTGCCGATGCCCGTCTGCTAGGGTTGCCCTTCCTCTCTCAGGGCGCCAGGCAACGCACTATGCACTGGTGGACGCCCACCCAAAAGAGCTCTGACCCTCACCTCCCCACAAGGAGACCTGTTTCTAGAACCTAGAGTAACTGTGAGTGTGTGTGTGTTTTCTAATGTGGGTCTTTCCCATAGGGTTTCCACTAAGCCCTGGAACAGGCTTAACCTCTTCTCTGCAGTAGCCCCGTTACCTACAATTATTCCTCGTCCACCACTTTCTTGCTGTGTGACCTTGGCAAGTCATTTAACTAGCCTCTCTGCACCCCTAGTCTCCCATTTTGAAAAAACAGCAAGGTAATATGTGTTGTTGACATTGTTATCTCATTATTATGCCTCACACTGTCCCACAATGAGCAGCAAGCACCTGATGCTGCCGGGGGATGGTTATTGGAGGCACATTTGTTTATTCAGATTTTCCTCTTTCTTTGGCTATATGCCGAACTCCTTCTGGGTCAATTCCAGAGAGACAGTGAGGAAGGCAGGCCTGGCCAGGCAGGTGACCAAAGCAGCATAAGGTTTCTCCAGGGAAAATGAACCTCCCTTTACCAGGCTTCTCACAATGGTGGCAGAGTAGTCTGACTGGGCATCAGGTCTCAGCAGGCAAGACCGAGGCCTGTGATCCATCTCCTCTTTTCTGGTGTCTCACAAGTTGCTGTTTCAACATCTCCAATAACTCAGTGTATCTTATGCCATTCAGATGAACACTGGTGTTCTGATTCATTCACCAACCATTCACCTGTCATACACTTGCTGAGCACTCTACCTCGATGCAGGCCGATGATGAACCAGGTAGACACACACTCCTTAGTCAACTGTCTAGCACAGGTTTCTTACCTTGGAGCTATATCAGAACTACCTAGGAGGATTGTTAAGCACAGACCAGGGTTCTGATTCAATTTGTAGACATGGGTGGGACCTGACATTTTGGCATTTCTAACAAATCCCTAAGGATACTGATTCTTCAGTCCCAGGACCCCATTTTGAGAACCACTGGCCTACAGGATGGAAACTAGCATTCATGGAATAATTGAGCAAGGAAAGAGATCACTATAGACAGTGGCAGGTACTACAGAGTACACCAAAGGTATGACTTGAAGGTGTATGTACATATGTGAGAGGAGGCTGAGGGGCATCTCAGGGAGAAAGAGCTGAGGCACCAAGGAGCCTGTGAGACTACAAACCTGGAGCTCAGAGAATAAGACAGGGGCCTAAGAACAATTTGGATCATGCATGGTCCTAAGGGACACCCTTTTTGAAAAGCAACTGGAAGCCACCACAGGGATTTGAGCATGATCAGATAGGGGAGAGGCCTGGATGGAAGAGAATAAATCATAAGATGTGAAAGCAGCCCAGGTAGGAGTGATGAGGTGTTTAACTGACTTGAATGCAATTATACTGTCCGTGTTTCATAAGGAAAAGTGAATCCATTCAAGGTATTTCAAACAGAGGAAATCAAGTACAGGGGAATGAGTATAAGAGCGCTGGGAGTAAGCAGAAGTAAAGGGTTGAGGGCTGGGGCTGGGGATCAGCGGTGGAGCTTCTCCAGATGCTGACTTCTCACCCCATTCGGAGAAAAAAGGGGTAGGCAGTGTTTGAATCCTACCCGTGCATGAGGCAGAAGAGTCTAGCTTCTTGAGAACCAACCCCCAGATAAATGGTGAGGTCTGATTAGGATAAAGAGTCCGAGTTCAAGGTCTATCATCTTCAACCAGGACTAGAATAAACCTTGTCAGAACTTCACTTCCTGCCCAGACTTTTCAGACTCTCAATGTGCTATATGTACCTTCCATATTATTTGGATTATTGTTGAGATTGCCAGCCTCCAAATTTCTGGAGTCATAAGTTTGATAATTTCAAACATGAATTTCATTGTGAAAACAGATCTCTTCAAGAAGAGACTGGCAGGCTAGGGATGTGGCTCAGTGGTGGAGTATTTTCCTGGTATGTTCACAACCCTAGGTTCCAACCCCAAAAAAAATAATTTGGCCTGGGGCTGTAGCCCAGTGTCAGAGCGCTTGTCTGGCAGGTGTGAGGCACTGGGTTCAATCCTTAGCACTGCATAAAACAAACGAATAAAATTTTTTTAAAAAGGGTTTTATATTGAGAAACTTTCATATGTTATTAGTGATTTACAACTAGAGAAATAAAGCATTGCTCTTTTTCAAAATGCATCTTATCAACTTTTATTTTATAAAAACATTTTAGAGATTAAGAGCGTCATGTACTTGACCAGATTCCTGCTGGTCTGTGGCCTCCATCAAGCGCTCAGATCTGGGGAGGGGAACTTCCTGGTGCATAGGGATCACTGAGGAAAACGTGACTGACCCCACCAAAAGCACGGAACGTTTTTAAAAGAAAGCTGGACCAGTTACCAAGTGACCTTTTCAATGCAGATTAAAGTAGAAACAAGGTTTTTATCAGTCATCTTTATAATAGGGATGACTAAAGCTCATCCCTCCTGTAATATCTATTGAAATGACTTTCACGCATATGAAACTTTCCTGCCAGGAGTTCCTCATCTTCCTCGCGGGCTTTTTTCACTTCTTCCTTGGCTTGTATGGCATCCATCTCCCTCTCTGGACCCTGGAGAAACACAACAACAAAGACTCCAGTGGCCGTAGATCACGCTTACTGGGAGCCCAGTGGCGGGCCATACGCATGTCAATCTCTCCCTGCTTTCTAGAAGCTTCCATACCACCTACAGCTGGCTTAAAAAGAGCCCCTAGCTAGGTGTGGTGGCACTTGCCTGTAATCCCAGGGGCTGAGGCAAGAGGATCAGGAGTTCAAGGCCAGCCTCAGCAAAAGCGAGACACTAAGCCACTCAGTGAGACCCTGTCTCTAAATAAAACACAAAACAGGGCTGGGGATGGGGCTCAGGGGTCGAGTGCCCCTGAGTTCAATCCCTGGTACCCACCCACTCACCCCCCAAAAAAGAAAAAGAGCCCCTAAAGATGGCAATCCTAATCCCTAGGGTGGGGGTGTGGCTCAGTTCTAGAGCACTTGCCCAGCACATGAAGGCCTTGGTCCTCTCCCCAGCACCACAGACACACAATAAATCCTAATCCCCCAAACCTGCAAATGTGACCTTATGTGGGAAAGGGTTCTTGGAAAGGCTTTTGGCTCAGGTTTCAGAGGTTTCAGTTCATGGTGGCTTGACCTTGTCACTTTTGGGTCTGTGGCAAGCAGTGCATCATGACAGGGAGCGTGTAGCAAAGGAAACTGCTCAACTCATGGCAGCCGGGTAGCAAAAGGGAGGAACAGGCTGGCGTCCCAACATCCCCTTCAATGGAACATCCTCCAAATTCCCTCTCGCGAGGCCCCACCTCTTAAAGGTTCTACCACCTCCCAGCAGCACACAGGCTGGCGTCCATGCCTTGAAACCCCTGGGCCTTGAAGGGATGGTCCACAAAATCACACCATCCTAGTTTTCCAGATGGGCCCTAAATCCAATCACAAAAGTCCTCATAAGAGAGGGCTAAAAAGAGTTTTGACACACAGAGACAAGAAGAGAAGGCCAGATGGAATTTGAGGCTGAGACACGCAGCCAGCCACCAGGGATACCAGGACCTGCCCGAGAGCATTCAGAGCAAGCACGGCCCCGAGGCTGCCCCGACCCCAACCACCTCCTCCAGCTGAGCTGGTGCCCCCTGGGCCGTCACCCCTGCTCTCATCACCTGGAACCAGACACCAGACAACCAGGGGTGGCCACTACGCCCCAAAGCCCACTGAAACAATTCGCCGTCATCAATTCAGAGTCTGCTTGTGGTGACATACTCGCTTCTTCCTGTGGAAACCACATTAAAGGTTCCTGTCCAAGTTTTCCCCACGCTCCCTCTGCCTCCTGGCTGACCCTAGTGCCCTATGTGGCCCTGTGTGGCCTCGTGGGCTCTCTTGGTGTAACTGTAACGAGAACTCTCATTTTAATGGCAGTCATCTCCTGATCTGTTGGCCTCCCCCTGCCCAAGTGAAAATAAATCCTGGATCTTTACTTTTTTTAAGAGACTGTGTCTTGCTATGTGGCCCAGGCTGGCCTCGAACTCCTGGGCTCAAGTGACCCTCCTGCCTCAGCCTCCTGAAGAGCTGGGGCTCTAAGCGGGCACCACCATGGTGGGCTTGAAGCCTATGTCAACCCAGGCCTTTCACAAGAGGACCTCCAAGTGGCCACAGGAAGCTACGAAACAAGGCTCACCTTCACTTGTCATCAGGGAAATGAAATTAAACCCGAGTGAGACACTACTGCACCAACGGGAGCCGAAGGGTGGCCAGGACCGCACAATGGTGCTGTCGTCTGGAGAGAGTCTGGATGTGCCCATGTGACCTGGCAGCCCATTCCCGGGGATTTACCCCAAAGAAATGAGAATACCGTATGAAACGTTTATAGCAGCTTTGTTGTTGCTATGGTTTGGATCTACAATGTCCCCAAAGGCCCCTGTGTTGAAGGCCCGGTCCCCACCTTGGTGCTCCTGGGAGGTGGCGGGAACTCAAGGCGTGGAGCCTAGGGCATCATGGGCCAGCCCTCCCTCTGTCACTGTTTCTCTCCTGGCCACAAGGCCAGTGGCTCTCTTGGTCACACACTCCTGCTGTGGTGCGCTGCCTCGCTCTAGACTTCAAAGCCACGGGGCCAACCATGGACCGTGACCTCTAAAACACTGAGCGGAAGAAGTCCTCGTTCTAAATTGTCTCCGGTATTCTACTGAAGTAGTGGGAGCCTAGAACACGCATGCTCACCAAACCTGGAAACAGGCCAAGCTAGGAAACGAACAAACTACGAGGCGATAAGAGAAACGACCTCCTGACGCGGCCACAGCCACGTGAGTCTCAGACACCTCACACCAGGTTGAAGACGCAGCTCCCGGGGCCGCGAGGGTGGTTCCGTGGCGGGGTGCACACTTAGCAAAGTGAGAGCCCAGACCTGAGCAGCTCCACAGGCCGGGTACTTGACAACGTTCTGGAAAAGGCGGACCACAGGACTGATGCCCGGTTGGTGAGGGGGTGACTGAAAAGGGCCCAAGGACACCTTTTGGGGTGATGGACCTATTCCACCTCTTGATTTTCAGTGTTGGTTTCAGAATGATATGTATTTGTCCAAATTCAGAATTGTATGCCTAAAAGGGTGAACTTCACAGTGGGTAGATTAGACCTCAATAAACCTGACTTAACAACGATTAACAACACCAGCAATGTCACAGATGTGGCACAGTGCAACTGTGCCCACTGTAGAAAGGGTGACTGCATTGAAAACCGTTTGGCCACATCAAGCCACTGCCCATCAGCTCCACTGTGACCCAGCACCTGGATGATCACTCTACGAGCAGCAGAGTGTACTCTGGCTCAGGGTCTCGGGGGCTTCAGTCCCTGACCACGTGGCCCCATTGCCTTGGGTCTGTGGTGGGGCAGCCACACGGCAGGGAGCACCTGGAACAGGAAGTTCTCACCTCATGGCAGCCAGGAGGCAAAGGGACAAAGAGGAAGGACACGTCCCCAGTGACTGAGCTGCTTCTACAAGGCCCACCTCCTACCAGCACCACAGGCTGGGGACCAAGTCTTCAGCGTATGGGCCTCTGGGGGCACTTGAGATCTGAACTGTAGCACATTCAAGTGGCCCAGCAGTCCACTCCTGGACATGTGTCCACTACAGACACACACACACACAGGAGCCGCCCCTCACCCAGGATCTCACTTGCCCACCATCAAAAATGGTTCAAAAATATGTACTGGAAAATTTCAAGAATAATTCACAACTTTTAAATAGCTATCACTGCAGCACAGTGTTGCATACTAGTTCTATTTTATTATTAGTAATTGTTGTTCATCTCTTTTTGTGGCTGATTTATAAATTAAAACCCTATATAAAACACGGACCATAGAGGTCTCAGTCCTACCCACTGGCCCTTGGGATTTGCCCTGTATTGATAAGGAGGTGTCTTTCTACAGAGTCTCAGAACAGCCTCCTTCACAAGGCCCCAAACTGGAGACAACCCAAAGCTGCATCAACAGAGAATGAGCACATACATTCTGGAATATTCTCACAGTGAGAACGAGCTATTTGTCCTGGGGGCAGGGCCCAGGCCTGTAATCCCAGTGACTCAGGAGGCCGAGGCAGGGGGATCACAGGTGTAAGACCAGCCTTGGCAACTTGGCAGGATCCTGTCTCAAAAATAAAAAAGTAAATTGGGTGCGGGGTGGGGCATGCCTGTGATTCCAGTAATTTGGGAGGCTGAGACAGAAGGTTCACAAGTTCAAAGCCAGCCTTAGCAACATAGTGAGGCCCTAAGCAACTTAGTGAGACCCCGACTCCAGGAAAAAAAGAAAAAAAAAGGCATCTCAGTGGTTAAGCACCCTTAGGTGGTTCCCCAGTAAGTCTGTCTGTCTGTCTAAACACACAGAGGGCCCAGGGTGAAGCTTAGTGGTGGGCACCCTGGGCTCAATGCCCAGTTCTCACCAAAACCAGGAAGAAAGTGCTGCTGCTCCCCACACGAATGTGAACGAACGACACTGTCTCCAACAGTCCAGAATGGGGGGCCCTGCTATGGTTTGTCCCCCGAAGGCCCATGGGCCCAAGTGCTAAAGGTTGGTTCCCAAGTGCTCCCGAGGGGGATGGCACTGTAGAGGGGAGCCTTGGGTCGCTGGGTGTGCCCTGGGCAGGCTTGGTACGGTGGGGGCCTGTTCTCTGCAGCCCCCTCTCTTCCCTGCTCCCTGGCTCACCAGGAGGTCAGTGGCTTGTCCTCCCAGTAGTGTCGGCCTCAGGCCCCAGAGCCACAGGACCAACTGATCAAGGACTAAAACCTCAGAACTGTGAACCTGGATAGACCTTCTCCCTTCAGCAGGTGACAACCTCGGCCACTTGGTACAGAAATGGGACACTGGTGCACTTCCCTTCACGTGAGTTTCAGAAAGAGGTCAGAGGGACGCGCTGGTGGGACAGAGTTCGCCTGGGGGGGGGGAGTGTGTGGAGGCTGCAGAGTGCAGGTGACCTTCTGTGTTCTGACCTGGCTCAGGTGTCCACTAGTAAAAATTCAGCAAGCCCTTTCCTAAGTGATAGACTTTGGCACAAAGTGTTTGAAAAAAATGAATGATCAAAGTTCACTGTGTGTATCCGTCGTACCTTGGTTTCGCCCCAGGTGGCCTTGGCAAAATTCTCAGCATACTCTTCATCGTCTGTGATCAGGAAGTTATCAAAGATGGTTCCAGATCTCACCTGTAGATGAAAAAGAAGTCTTCACTATTGAGGTCACATATGTTCCAATTTTCCACAGAGAGATAGTTGTATTTAGCTCAATACTATAAACCGGTTGGCTCTCACTAGTAGAGGTGGGCCGGGCATGGTAGTGCAGGCCTGTAATCCCAGGGCCTCAGGAGGCTGAGACAGGAGGACCAGGGGTTCAAAGCCAGCCTCAGCAAAAGCGAGGTGCTAAGCAACTCAGTGAGACCCTGTCTCTAAATAAGATACAAAATAGGGCTGGGGAGGTGGCTCACTGGTCTGGTGCCCCTGAGTGCAATCTCTAGTACCAAAAAAAAAAAAAAAATAGTAGAAGGCGCTTAAGCCCATTTCAGGAATACTAGACTGTACCCTCTATGTGGGCTAGGGGTGAGACTCAGGGGTGGTGCATGAGTTTAACAGTTGTGAGGCTCAGGGTTCCATCCCTAGCAGCCCCCCAACAAAAAAAAAGAGCTAAAAATCTCTTTATCCCTGGGCCTCACCCCCAGGGATGTGGATGCAACCAGCATCTGGGCATGGGGAGTTTGAAAAGCTCCCCAGTGCCTAGAACGGCCATTGCCATCGGGGAGTGCTGCCCAGAGCCCCGCTGCTGGGAGTGTGGGTAGAGGGCCTGCTGGGCCGGCACCCCTGGAGCTGGCTGGGAATGCAGAATCCCAGGCCCAAGCCAGCTCTGAGCAGAGAAGTTCCAAGCATAGGAGGGGAACTCCAGCGGGGGCTGTGGCTCAGTGGTGGAGCGCTTGCCTAGCATGTGTGAGGCCCTGGGTTCGATCCCCAGCACCACGTGAAACTGAATAAACAAAATAAAGGTCCATCTATAACTAAAAATATGAAAAAAAAAAAAAAGAGGGGACTTCCAAGGCGACAGGCATGTGGGAAACACGGCTGTCCCCCAGCTCGGGTCCCAGCACCTGGTTAGGTTCTCACTGAAAAGCAGGAACGCAAATCGAGGACTTCACCTTTGAGTTCCGAGATATGAAACTAAAGCAGATTCATGACGGGTGACCAGGGCTGGGGCTGTGCCCTCACTCGCCTGGCATGCGTGGGGCACTGGGTTCCATCCTCAGCACCACATGAAGATAAAATAAAGATGTGTGTCCACCTGTAACTAAAAAATAAATATTAAAAAAAAAGACGAGCGACCTGCCAGAGCTCCAGCCCGATGGCGCCGATGTTCTCAAATTCCGAGAGGTCATACTGGGTCAGGTAGTTGGTGTTCTTCATCTTCCGGTGAAGCCAGATGTCTTTGTCGATGCCCTCTGGTTTCAGGCCGCCCTGCAACAGCAAACACACCGTGGTCCCCGTGGCCCAGGCAGGGGCGGTGCAGCCCGAGTGTCCCGGGACGTGGCAGGGCGGCCCCTCACCTGGTAGGGCGGCTTCTGGAGCAGGGACGCCTGCCAGTCCCCGTCCAGCTCGCTGTTCCAGTCGCTGGGCTTGCTGGCGCTGGCGTCCAGGAAATGCTGCTCCCAGTCCTTCCACGTCGGGAGAGGAAAACAAAACAGACGAGTAGGGGAGTGCACTAGGAACGGAACCCAGGGCCTCCCCCATATGAGGCCAGAGCCCTGCCACCAAGCCCCCCCCAGCCCTGAGAGAGGAACTCGGGGCAGCCCCAACCCTGCCATGATGTCCCCCTCTCCTGTTTGACTTAGTTGTCAAAGAGCCAAGTGCCTGGCCTCCTCGGCCCTGCCGGGGCTCCAGTCCACCCACATGGCCTCGTCCCCCCCCTGCCCACCCCTCCACAGGATTTCAGTGGTGTGAAAGCCCAAAGCCACGAGGGTGGGAGCCACACGTACAGCCCTGATGGTAAATCATCTTTTGTTTCTGGCTGTGCACAGACTGTTCCAGAAAATGGCGGGGGCTGGGGGGGGGGGACGACAACCATATACTGCAGCAAGGTTTATCAGGGGACTTCTGAGTAGCAGAAAAGAGCAGTCGCAGGAGGGTCGGGGCTCAGTGGGAGAGCTGCCCTCGCAGGCGTGAGGCCCGGGATTCGGTCCTCAGCACCACACAAAAACAATAAAAACAAAGATATTGTGTCCATCTACAACTAAAAATGTTTTTTTAAATAGTTACATTGTCGAGTTCTTTACACACCCACACGGCAGTGCACAGAATCCTGGCGTCTCCCTGAAAGTCCCAGGCGGAACTCGTACCCTGACGTGACACTAGGGGTCTGGGCCTCTGGGGGTGCTATGGTTTGGATAAGTATCCCCCAAAGGCTCGTATGCTAACGGCTCTGTCCCCAGTCTGTGGCACTGTGAGGTGATGGTGGGACACTGAGGAGCTGGGGCCTAGGGGAGGTCTTCTGGTCAGCGGGGGTGTGCCCTTGAGGGGATATCAGGACCCCAGCCTTTCCCTTCTTTCCTTTTGCGTCCGGTCATCAGCACCCTCCAACATGCTCTAAACACCAGGCCCAAGGCAATAGGCCCAAAACCATGGACTGAAACCCCTAAAACTGGGCCCAAACTACCCCTCCCCCTTTCTTCAGTGCTGAGCATCCTCAGGGCCTTGCATATGTCAGGCAAGGGCTCTATCCTGACCCTTTTTTAATTCATTTAGAGATAGGGACTCAAATCTTTCCTCTTTTTAAGTTGATTATCACAAGTATTTTGTTACAGTAACAGAAAACTGACTAACATAGGAGACGAAAAAGTCATGAAGGTAAAACCTTCATGAATGGGACGAGTGCTTTTGTAAAAGTGACATTAGAGAGCTTTCTCACCCTCCTGTGAGGGTACAGCAGGAAACGAACCATCTCCAGTCTGGAAGAGAGCCCTCATCAGAAACTAACCATGTTGGCACCTTGGACTCATAACATCTAGAACTGTCAGACATAAATTCTGTTGATTACAAGCTATCCAGTTAGAGGACTTTGTAACAGCTGTCTAAATACACACACACACACACACACACACACACACACACACACTCACTCTCTCTCTCTCTCTCTCTCTCTCTCTCACAAATGTATACAGTCATCCCAAGATATCTACAGATGATAGTTCCAAGATTCCCCTCCTATACCAAAATCTTTGTATGCTCAAGTTCCTTCTATAAAATGAAACAGTATTTGCATAAACCTACACATATCCTCCTGTGTACTTTAAAATGCCTCACCTAATACATTGTAAATGACGCATCTATAGTTGTTATACTATTTAAAGCATCATGACTAGAAAAAAAGTCTGTATACCTTCAGTATGGATGAAACTTTTTGCTAGCATTTTGATTCGGAATTGGTGAATCTAAGCATACAGAACCTACAGGTACAGAGGGTGAACTGAATATATAAACACACACACACAGCTTAGTAGATATTGAATAAATAAACATGTTAGAAAATATGTTGATCCAAAATATTGGATTTACCAATATTCAGATAATCCCCTATAAAAAAAGATCATAAAAGCTGTGCATCGTGGTACATGCCTGTAAACTCGAGGCTAAGGCAGGAGGATCACAAGTTCGAGGTCAGCCTCAGCACTGTAGCAAGACCCTAAGCAACTTAGCGAGACCTTGTCTCAAAAAATCAAAAAGGCTGGCATGTGGGTCAGTGGTTAGGCACACTTGGGTTCAATCTCCAGTATCAAAGAAAAAAAAAAAAGAAAAAAGCATACAAGACTTGTACCAGTGTTTTCTCAAGATAACAGAAATAACAAGATTGTACGTGTGTCTGTGGTGATAGGGATGGAATTCAGGGCCCACACAAGTTAGGCAAATACTCCACCTCTGAGTTACATACCCTACCCTGTATATGACAATTTCAATAAATAATTATCCTTTTATTAAGAAAACATTGGTTCGGGCTGGAGTGAGGCTCAGAGCAGTGCTCAGCATGTTCAAGGTCCTGAGTTCCATCCTCAGCATAAAAACACTCTTAGAGAAACAGATCCTAGGGGCTGGGGTTGTGGCTCAGCAGTAGAGTGCTTGCCTCGCTCCTGTAAGGCACTGGGTTTGACCTTCAGCACCACGTAATAATAAATGAGACCAAGGTATCGTGTCCATCTACAGCTAAAAAAGAAATTTAAAAAAGCAACATCCGACTTGTTTGAATCTCAAATACCATAAAGCTCTCTTGCCATCTGCCGAATCGTGCACTGCGCGGCTGGTCTCAGGGGCCTGTACCCTGGGGAGAGCAGTCATAAGACTGTGACTTTGTACAGTAGCTAGGTGCTTCCACAAACTGACCTCGCACACCTCACACACTTCCCAGAGTTGTTCAGGAAAAATCCATACCTGGGCTTTCGCGTCCTTTGCCTGATTCCAATCCTTAGACTCTGGTGCAGACTCTTCCATTTTCCTAAACGAGGTCAAGTTCCAGTCGTATTCAATGCTGCCGGACTCGATGGCCTGACCGTCAACTTTCACTTCGTAAGAAAGGTCTGGTCTTAAAACCAGAGCGTACAGGTGTGTGAAGCCATCAACCTGCCAGGTTAGGGGAGGCCGCTGTGAAACCCGTGCTGTTTCAACGCGGGTCTGAATACCAGTTTAAAGCAGGCTCCAGGCAAGCCTGGGTGCAGCAAGGAGACCTGGGGAGGCCCTGGGAAGAGGGGTTGGTCTTCAAAATGGGATCCTGGGTCGGGGTGTAGCTCCATAGTAGAGCTCAGGCCCAGCACGTGAGAGGCCCTGGGTTCTAGCCCCTGCACCACAGAAAAATGAAATAAAGATTAGAGAGGGAGGGGCATCCTGTGGAGCAGCCACACTGCCGCAGAAGACCCCTCTCCTCCAGCCCCTCTCTTGTGTGGCTGGTTCCCCTCGGTGCAGAAAACATGGCTCCGGCTACGGTTGGATAAGTGTCCCCAAGGCCCGCGTGTTAAAGGCTTGGTCACCAGCCTGTGGTGCTATTGAGGGCTGCTAGAACCGTTAAGAGGCGGGACGGCTGAGGGAGGAAGTTAGGTCACTGGAGGGGTGCCCCTGAAAGGGACACCAGTTGTCTTTTAATCTTTCTTCATTCTCAGCCACAAGGTTAAGGGGCTGCCTTTGCCACAAGCCTCTACCATGATGCCACAGGCATGAAGCAACAAAGCCAACCAACCACGGGCTGAAACCACCAAACAATGAGCCCAGACAAACCTTTTCTCTTTTTAAGTTGGCTGTCTCAGGTACTTTGTCATAGTAATACAAAGCCAACTAACAGGAAGTTCTGATTCCCTATTTGAAAACCCTGGAGGACCAAGCACTGCCTGCTAGTGGGGTTCTGGACCTTTCCTCCACGGTGTTGCAGAACCAGCCAAAGCCCTGTGAACACAACAGTGTTCTTCCCTGAGGCCAGGAGGTCAACTAGGTGCTGTGAAGCAAGGCCACATCATTAGCCCTGTAGCAACACAGTCTGAGGGAGCCTATGGGTGCCACTCAGGGCCACGTGGGCTTTCTGACCCAAGGTGACCATGTCCTTTCCTCTCTACAGAACAAGCTCCTTGGCATGTTCCAGGCTGTTGGGGCCTCCTCTCCTTTTGCTCCCTGTCCCCCTGGTGTTCAGGGGAACTGAACTGAAGAGGGAGGAAGACGGGGGGTGTGGGCTGTCTTGCCCCTGCAGGAGGGGTGTCACGACAAGCATGGTGTGCAGGAGAACCCGCTGATCCTTTAGGACCACCCAGAGAGGACCCTGCAGTCTCCAGGGTCTGTGAGGAGGCCATCTGCTCCCCTGAGAGGGCTGATTGGATAAAGAACGGCTACAGGCACCTCCCTCCAGCCTCAATGACACTGAGAAGCCTTTGTGTCTCCTGCCCATTTTCACCTGAGTTCTAGGTGCTAGAGTGCCCCAGGGGACAGTCCCTGCTTCCTGAGGTTTACACTCAATACAGAGGGTGGGGAGAGAGGGGGGGCCCTTCCTCCTCTCCAGCCCAGGCTAAGGGACCTGGCAAACCGCCTCTTTGGAGCCCTGCTCTGGGCCGTTGGCAGCCTCTGCTGGCCGTGCGGGCATCCAGGCCGGTCTGAGTCCCCCCTCCAACACCAGAGCATATAACTCAGTACATAACCGAGTTCTGCAGAGGGCTCAAAGACAAAAAGCGCCATTTTCACAGGAATCCCTGGGCAAAAAGACAAGAAAGTATGATTTCATTTTGGAAATATTCCCATTTCCATGTTCTGGGATTTTGAAGATTGTCTAATTACTCCAGAATGTTTTTTTTTTTTCCATTTTGAATATTTCATTCTTTAATGATGATGGATACGGTTAGAATATCCAATGACTATGCTATTGTGACCCTCAGGGGGTCAATTATAACCTGACATCATAAACCACAGTGGAAGAGTGCCCTGCCACTGGGTGAAAACCTCAGAAAACAAACCAAAGTAGACAGTGTCACTAAAGGGCCACCCACTGGAAACCAGGGACAAGAGGCATATTTGCGAGGACCCTTCCCTGGCTCTTAAAGACTGAAAGACCAAAACCCTTCTCTCTAAACTTATCATCAGGCAGGAGTTAATCAAAGTGGAGAGTGGTGGCCTCCCCTGCAGGCCAGGAGACCCCCAGTCCCTCGGGCCCAGGAGTTCAGAACCAGCCTGGGCAACAGCAAGACCTGTCTCAACAAACAAACAAAACCAAAAATGAAGGCAGGAAGAAAATAACTAATACAATCATTGGAATATGAGGGCATTTACCTTACATCTGATTGATTTCTTGTTTGAATGATACTGATTCTTGAAATGTAAAATAACATGAACTTTCTTGATATCAAATCCACAAATGTCAGGTCCTACAAGAAAAATATCAGGTGCTCTCAGTTTTCCTCCATAATGATTGACCATAGGATAACCAACTTTTCTCCTTAGATATATGAGGCCCAGGAAACTCATATGTCCAGGAATAATCAGATGCTCATGTGAAGATCTGCGGGTAGTGACCGCCTTCTCCCACTCAGATCTCTTCTCTGGCCTTTGAAGCCACCTTGGACTCAAGGACAAACCAGCACAGAGGGGCTGGTGTGGTGGCTCAGTGGTAGAGCGCTCGCCTAGCATGCACGAGGCACTGGGTTCCATCCCAGAACCACATATAAATGGGAAGATACGGTGTCCACCTAAAACTAAAAAATAAATGTTGAAAAAAAAACCACCCAGCACAGAAGCAAAGGCAGGCTGACAGTCCAGCAGTGCCCCGGCCCCTCCTCAGCCTCAGCCTCAGCCTCCGACTGAAGTTCTTTTCCTTTGTGGAGCTGGGATGGAACCCAGGGCCCTGCGCATGAGAGGCACACGGTCTGTCACCGAGCTGCTCCCCCAGCCCCTGGCCTGAGGTTCTGACCTGCACCTGGGGCCAGGTGCGGGGAGCAGGCTTCAGAGCTGGAGCCTGGCTCGGCTCATCCCAGCTCTCAACGACTCAGCCTCACCACGCCATGGTGTCCTCCCTGGTCTAGAACATCAGGATGCTTGCCCAACACACGGGAGGCCCCGGATTCCACCCCCACTGTGTGTGGGGGGATCCAGTCACTAAGGAAATGGAATTCTCCAAGATGGGGCCAGATAAGAGACTGGAGTTCTGAATATGATAAACAAAGTTTATAGGAGGTATCTGGAAAATTCACCAAGATTTCTGAAGGTGTTTACAATTACCCTGCTTTTGCTTTACAGATTAAGCCTTAAGATTGTCCTAAAACAGGGGCTGGGGATGTGGTTCAAGTGGTAGCGCACTCATCTAGCATGCATGAGGCACTGGGTTTGATTCTCAGCACCACACTAAAAAAAATAAAATAAAAATAAAGATATGTGTCCACTTAAAACTGAAAAATAAATTAAAAAAAGATTATCCTAAAACATCTTTTTTTTTAAATTTTCTTTTCTCCCTGTCTTAGATAGAATTCCACCAAATCCACTGACCCTGGTGGCATCTACCCCTGGGGATTCTGATAGAAAAATCCACTGTGAACACCGTAGATTTCTTCTAGATTGTACTTTTAACATTTCTTGGCAATTTGCAGTGACAAAATTCCAGAATGAATCATAGTAACCCAGGCTGCCTGAAATTACTTTAAGTATGTTATCAATTTGGGGGCTGTGGGTGTAGCTTAGTGATAGAGCGCATGCTTAGCATGTGCCAGGCCCTGGGTTCCATCCCCAGCCCCAAATAGCAAAAACAAAACAAAAAGAACGTTATCAACTGTCCAGAAGCATAAACTACTTTGAACTTAGAAATAGTGACCTGTGGGGTTGACAAAAATACTCTAGGTCTGTCTCCCAGCTGCATTCAAAGGACATGTGTTTATAGAATTTCCTTTTCTGTCATCACTGGTCAACATTCCAATTCAATTTTTTAAACAAGAGCTATGGCATGTGAAATATTTGGTTGAAAGCTGGCCTCCTCGGGATTGAGATGTATTTTTCCCTTCAAAATGAGTTAGCATTTCTCTATGTATTCTTAAGCACCTGTATACTGAATATTTAATGAAGGTATAGAACACATCTAAAACTGGCCAGAAAATCTGTACATGTCCATGAATGGCAATAATAAAATATTTAAGCTTGTAATTGATTTGCATAAGGAAATGCAGTAGACAGATGAACTTGGGGTGATCTAATTTTGGGCAAATATTTTTTTTTTGTGTGTGTGTGGTACCAGGGTTGAACCCAGGGGCACTTAACCACTGAGCCACATCCCCAGCCCTTTTTAAGCATCTTTTATTTAGAGACAGGGTCTTGCTGAGTTGCTTAGGGCCTCGATAAATTGCTGAGGCCAGCTTTGAACTTGAATCCTCCTCAGTCTCTACCAGCATTCCAGGTGTGCGCCACCATATCCAGCTTGGCAAGTAGTTTTAATCAGACTTCTTGTTGGTAAAACAGGGGCTGTCTCACAAGTTTTGGGGGGGTTTTACGCATAACCTGAGACTGCAAATTGAAAGCCCTTGGCAAGGACCCACAGAGCATACTTCTCTCTTCCTCAACATCAGCGCTCGGCAAAGCAAGGGCTGGAGTGGAGTGAGCAGGGCAGCACTGTAGGAGAGCTGAGTGAGTGGAGGCAATCTCAAGTTAAAACCAAAAATAATCCAGAAAGTTTATTTTAATATTTACTTATTCTGTGGTGCTGGGAGTGGAACCCAGGGCCTTGCCCTTGCTGGGAGAGTTCTCTACCACTGAGCTGCATCCCCACCTCAGGCTTCTTCATCTTTTTACTCTAAATTATGCTGCTTCAGAATTCGTAGGCAGCAAACATGCGAAATAGAGTTAAGAGTGATATTTTGGTGGATATTTCTGATTATTTTGTTTACCAAATCTAAAAAGCAAATATTTGTGAAGCCACCTCTAATTCAGCATGTATTTCTTTTTCCTAGATAGCTCCAGTGTCTTGTTTTAAGAGGATAATAAATAACTAAAGCAGACATTCTGGTTTCTTTTTCCTTTTTTGCAGTGCTGGAGGCGGAGCTCAGGCCTCGCGGGTGCTAGCTGGCATGTGCTCCACCACGGGTTACAACCCAGCTTTCTTTTTTTTCTTTTTTTCAGTATTGGGAATGAACCCAAGGGCATTCTACCACTGAGCTACATCCTCAGTCCTTTTTATTTTTTATTCTGAGACAGGGTCTCGCTAAGTTTCGGATACTAGCCTTGAACTTGCAACCTTTCTGCCTCAGCCTCTCGAGCAGCTGTGATGTCAGTGAAGTCACTGTTCTCTAAGACGACTTGTGGGCGGGGGCGGGGGTTATTCTATCCATATCTAGGAATTAACCTAGCACCTAACATCCAATAAAACAGAAAAAATATATTCACTGTCAAAGTCTGAACCACAGAGATGGTGGTGTTCTGCTACGTCAACTTACCAAACATAATATAGTACTGTGATTTCCCATTGAGGTTCTTCTGATCCAGGTCTGCAGGAAAGATCTTAATGTAGCCCCCGCCGCAGTCCATCTTCTGCTCGTGTTTCACGGTGTACTGAATGACTAGAGTCTTCCCCTTGTTGCTGAACGGTTTGAAGCGTGCAGAGATGGCGTAGAATCGGCCATTCTGAGTGGTCTGCAGACCTTCCAACAGAAAGTACTCGTGAAGGATTAGGAATGACATTGTGCTCAGTAAAGCATGGACATTAACAGATGCCCTTTCTCTACCTGTGATAATCTATGTTCTATTGACAGGGAGCTGCTGTCTACAATGACCTGAATTGACCCAGCATGCTGGGGACACATCACTAATAGGTCCCTAGCTTGCACAAAACTCGTATTTTATGCATCCAGATGTTTTTGTACCTCATATATCATTGTTATGGTATTTGTTTACCTATTTCGGGGGGATGAAACCCAGGGTCTGTGCATACTGGGCAGGCTCTGCCACTGCGCTGCATCCCCAGCCCCACCTCTACTGTTTTAAGTTACAACCTTAAATGACAAATCTGCAATCTAATCATGGGTAGTTAATTTTGCCCCCTCATCTTCTAAGGGGCAAGGATACACAAGGAAGCCTGGGTAGCAGCTGAATGAAGAACAGAAAGAAGCACCCCACGTCTTCTCATCTTAAAACAGCTCAGAAACACAACAGCAGATGATGTGACCATGACTGACAGAGCGCTGATGTACAGGAAAGAGCTTCACTGTCCCCAGCTGTCATTTGCAAGGTGGCTTTTTTTTTTTTTTTTTGGTACTAGGGATTGAACCCAGGGCCTTGTGCATGCAAGGCAAGCACTCTACCAACTGAGCTAGATCCCCAGCCCCACAAGGTGGCTCTTTTCATGAAGACACGGTTCTTTTTATTTATTTATTTATTTTGGTACCAGGGACTGCACTCAGGGGCACTCGACCACTGAGCCACATCCCCAGCCCTATTTCATATTTTATTTAGAGACAGGGTTCTCACTGAGTTGCTTAGTGCCTTGCTTTTTTTTAAAAAAATATTTTACTTTAGTTGTAGTTGGACAATAATACCTTTAATTTTTTTAATACCTTTATTTTTATGTGGTGCTGAGGATTGAACTCAAGGCCTCTCATGTGCTAGATGAGCGCTCTATCTCTGAGCCACAACTCCAGCCCCAAGAGCCTCGCTTTTGCTGAGGCTGGCTTTGGTGTGATCCTCCTGCCTCAGCCACCCAAGTTGTTGGGATTACAGGCATGTGCCAATGCCCAGATGACCATTCTTCTTCTTCTTTGGGAATGGGGATGGCTCCCAGTGCCTCATGCATGTGAAGAAAGAGCACTATTACTGAGCTATATCCTCAGCTGTGATCCTCCTGTCTCTACCCGCCCCGCCCCCCAAGTATCAGTGATTACAGGCACATGCCACTGTCCACCATTATCCCATGGATTATTATTATTATTTTTTTTGTGTGTGTGTGTGTGTGTATGCACACGCAGCACCAGGGCTGGAACCCAGAGCCCTGGAATCCAGGGCCACTAGGCAAGGGCTCTACAACCCCTGAGCTACACTTCAGCCCCTAAATCCTTTTTTATTTTTTTTTCCCCTGTCTTTTCTGATATCAGGGATTTAACTCAGGGGTACTTTTCCACGAAGTTACATCCCCAGCCCTTTTTATTTTGAAACAGGTTCTTACCAAGTTGCTGAGACTGGCCTTGAACTTGTGATCCTCCAGCCTCAGCCTCCACAGTCACCGGGATTACAGGTGTGTGCCACCACACCCGGCCCTAAATTCTTTTATTATATTGGAGTTTATTGCACAACCTGAAGATGGCCATTCCTATTGTGACCCACCCTGTGTGATCGTCCATGAACCTGGTATTTGGTACTCATGGGTCCAAGTCTTACCTCATGGCTGACTGTCCACTATCACACCTCTTTTCCCTATCCTTCTCTCCCCCTATAAGCAAGGAAATCTGAGTCATGTGGTTCTCCACCTCTCTTGTGTCTTGTCACCCTCCACGAGCACCCCATCCTGTCACCACTTCCCATTTCTGTCTGACTAAATTAGACTCATCTTTTTCATCCATGGCTTTTAAATCTTGGTCTCAGAGGACCACAGGGAAGGATCAGACTGTGCTGAAGAAATGAAAATATTGCACAGAGGGGCTGGGGATGTGGCTCAAGCGGTAGCGCGCTCGCCTGGCATGCGTACGGCCCGGGTTCGATCCTCAGCAGCACCACATACCAACAAAGATGTTGTG